GTAGTCTCAGCCCTCTTCATTAGCTTTTACATTAGGCACAAATCTTCCTCCAGTTGCTTTTAGTTATTTTAACCTGGCATGTACATTAGGCACAAATCTTCCTCCAGTTGCTTTTAGTTATTTTAACCTGGCCCTTCTCAGGTTACAAAGAAGATTCTAACAAAGTGGCTGTGCTCCTCCTCCTAGTTGTTACATGTACTTCAGATACTCTGTTGCACTGTTCCAGTCCTATTTGTCTTTAACGTTCCCTAAAAGTAATGCCTTGGTACTATTGCTCGTATCTTCCTCCAGTTGCTTTTAGTTATTTTAACCTGGCCCTTCTCAGGTTACAAAGAAGATTCTAACAAAGTGGCTGTGCTCCTCCTCCTAGTTGTTACATGTACTTCAGATACTCTGTTGCACTGTTCCAGTCCTATTTGTCTTTAACGTTCCCTAAAAGTAATGCCTTGGTACTATTGCTCGTATCCTAGGCCGAAGGAATATATGTTTTCTTAGAACTCTATTTTGCTGGGAGAGGTAGAATCTCATGATACTGTTGATGGTACTGATATACTTTCAAAGAGGACATAGAAACTGGATTGGATGTGACTGGATTAGTTGTGTGTGAACAGACACTGAGTTCAGATAGACAAAGATCCTCTAAGATAGAGTGGTATGCCTAAAGTGGGAATTAAAATTATTATGGATCAGGTAGCCCTTCCTCTGGAGGATCATATACACAGCTTAGAGTTCATTAAGATCTAAAGCCATTCCTTGCTGGCCAAATTGTGGTTTTGTCAAGTTTTGGCTAAGGTACCAGTTATATGTCCTCCATGCGAAGATGAATCTGGTCACAGTGCTCCATACCTTAGTCCCTCTATGTCTAGCTAACTACATGGAACTGCCAAATATCTAGAAAATTCAGAAAGTGCAATTGCAGCATCCAGGTTGCTTTTTTGTATGCACTTTATAGACAATAGAACATGAATCTCCGATCTCCTGCACTCAGTTTATATGCAAATCCTGCTCATGGTGCTGGTTCTTACCTGTAGATCCCCAAACATGTAAGGCAGTACATCTGAAAGACTGCCACATCTATGAGTCTCATCTGAGTGCATGTTATATGTCCCACATTCTAGCAGGGGGAAACCGGATGGGTACATACAGGGTTTGCTGTATAGTAGCACCCAGCATGTGGAACTTCTTCCATAACGAAATAAGATTACCCTCTGTTTTATTGCCTTTTAGGCAGCTAGAGAAAGCAACATCATTCCTTCCACACAGTTTTAATTGCTCATGCTGCTCCCTGGTTTTATTATTATCCCCTTTTTGTAGCTTCTATATTTTATTGCCCTTGTTATATGTACCTTTTTATTGACTGGGGTGCAATCCAATTGGTTTCTAAGTAAATGCATTCTGGTGATTCCTTCTTTATGGTGGAAAAGAAAGAAGGTGCACTCATGTTCTACTAAACATCAGCCTGCCTCATTAATGCAGGCCAGGGTGTGAGTAACCGAGACTACATTTTTATGTTCTGTGTTTGAGTTCATATTAATTTCTCCTAACACAGTATATGTCTGTGTTTTTGTTAGTCTTGTAAATTCTGGCTTGCTAGAGAGATGCATCTTTGAAATGAAAGCTCCCCTACCTCGGCCATCTCATATGGAATATTCCAAAATGCAGGTTAGTTGTGGATGCTTGGTTCCTGTTCCTTTCTATTGAATTGCTTAAATTGTGTGATGGTTTATCTTCTCTTTTTGAAGTGGATTTCATTAATTGGCCCTCTATAATTTACTTTTATAAAGATGCCGGTTACCCAAACTTTATATCGGTATTTATTGTGAATGTTGAACATACTGTCTCCTGAGGGAGAGCTACAGTTTTCTTCAGTTTGGGAGAATCTAGGCTATAGAATATAACCCATAACAAAAATAAAGTTTAACTACTTGCTGTACCTTGAATGTGTCTGTGTATGTGGGAAGACACATCCTTGCAGAGGAGAAAGGCAAGAGTAAAGAGGGAGAAATGTTTCTTCAGAGGAAGAAATACTTCTTCCTTTTACCTGACCCTTCTATATACTCCTATTTCACCATAATCCAGACAAGGTGGCTTTGAACAACCTAAACAAATGAGTTTTCCTTTAATATTAAAACTGCTGTAGCTCATATACTGTAGATGCTCCCTAGTTATCAAACTGCTTTAGCTGTTATGGCAGAGTCCAGAACATAAGAGCACTCAGCTCTGTGCCTCTTGCCTCCTAGGAGAAAATGTCACAAAAAGAAGGAACCAGTTTGGCCCCATCTATCAGCCATAAAAATACTACTGATCAGTAGTATTTTCTCTTTTACCAAGTTCTTTTCCTTTCTATAATATCCATTAGATTTTGACCCTGTGGACAGGGACTACCCTACTTTTTAATATCTGTGGAGTACTGTAGTGAAAATAAAAAAAAGACACTGTTGTTATTGACAACCACTTTTGCCCCTTTACTATAACGTGCAGTCCCTCTAAACTAGTGTTTTTTAAACTGGCAAATTCCCCAGCCAACATGGCTCTGCCATGTTGTCTGGGGAATTCTGGGAGTTGAAGTCTACACATTTTAAAGTTGCCCAGTTTGAAAAGCACTGCTCTAAACCAAACTACCTTCCATCCTTTTCCCTTCCCTTTAGCCTAATTCCCAGTCACACCTATATTTTATAACACCAATTTCCACCATAGGTAGGTTGGTGTCAATTTGGAAAACAAATGGTCTTTCTCAGAAATATTTGTTCAGGGTGTTCCTTCCTTCCCAATCACCAATAGCATATTTTAGAACTAGAGGAGGAGTAGACAATGGCAAGCAGCAGAGTGGAAGAGATGGCTCACCTCCTCTATGATGAAGGCGTGTTTGTCTTGATTCCTCGCCTGAAGTCATTCCATCAGGCTATTGATCTGAACTATAGGATTGCTGGTTTCCTTCTTCCTGTAAGCCAGTCAAGGATAGGTTTTGGCTCAAGTGGAGTAAAGATCCTTTAAATAAATAAATTCTTGCCATTTAACTAACATAGGCAGCAGCTCCCTATTACTTGTAATCTTGCAGAATGAATTGGCATTTTAAAATAGTATGTTCAGATTCTACATCCATTTTATGCAAGATTGAAGTTTAAAACAACAAATGGTTAAAATTACTACTACTACTAGCACTATTATTATTTATTAAACTTGCCCAAGATGCTACTGCTACTGCAACTAAGAAGACAAGAATAGTTTCACCTTAGAATTCATGTTTTCTTGCTGTAGCTGAGAACCAGGGAATGGAGAGAATATCAATGCAGGAAAGAAAACACTCTCATGCTTAGGGGTCTGTGTGCCATAACATCTCGCTCCATCAATTATTTAGGACCTGCAGTGCCTTAGTTGATTGCTGTGTAGTTGTAAAACTCAGGTAACTGAGTTATGTTGTGCAACTGAATACAGAGAGGTGACATCAAAGCTGCTTTGATCTCACTTCCCTGTGTGAATCTTCTTGTGAATGGAAAGAAAGATAAAGTGTGAGCAAGATCAATAATATGCTCAATGAGCTTTAGCATTTCTTTTTAGAAAGATGTATCCTTTTTCCTAGGTCTCTATTAAATCTGTTTCAAAATGTGCCCAGTTGCAAAACTTTGGATGCATGACATGTAAGCAGCAGTTAGACTCTAAAAATACTGAAATATTTCTGTGCCACTCCCTGATGCAAAAGCCTCTGCTTTTCATGATCTTTAAATATGGTGCAGCTTTATTCTCATGGGGGCAGGTGTCAGAAAACAGGTGGAAAATGTCCTAATTTCCATGGCAATCAGACCATTCCTCCCTCTTCCACTCCTTCAGTTGCTGAACGAGTGAGGCAGAATATCTGCATCCAGATACCTCTCCCAGGAAAGCAGAACAACGTCTGATAGCTTTTTCAGGCAGCATAACACTATCTGGCAGGCGCTATAAGGCAGATATAAAGAACCATTTTATGGCTGAAGTCATGTGAAAATCCTGAAGTCTGACAAGATTTTGACCTTTTATGGTGTTTTCCCCCTCATTTTCTAATTTTATATACTGTCTTTAAATAATTTGTTCTGCTTTTTTCTTTAAATAATAGTCTTTCATGACCACAGGAGTGTTGTGGAACCTGTTGCCCACTCTGATTTATCTTGCTTGTATTCTACTCCTGATTGTCCTGTGTGGTTGATTGGATGCAGCTAGAGTCAAGACTCTTGCAGATGTCATAGGCATAAAACTATCAAAGTACTCCAGCAGAGCAAGGAGAGTTGCCTGTTTGCATCAGAGGGCCATGATTCCTTGTTGTGCATATGCAGCCATATTCAGAGTGAAGCCAGTTTGAAGATACTGCTTGCTTTACAGCTTGATCTATCTATGAGATGTTAGTAATGTATGCTATGTTTGGAATTTCTGATTTGTTGGTGATTATAGAATGTGAAAGAGGGAGGGATAATAAAACTAAAATAGAGGCCTATTTGCAAGTAGATGTCCAGGTTTTGAACAGTACAAAAATTCCATGTACACCAAGCAAGCAAGCAAGATTTAACAGATGATTTCTGCACAGTTTTTAAATATATCTGGCATGAAATAAATGCTATGGCTTCCTATGTGGGAGGGAAGTTTGTTTTTCTTTTTTCTTTTTGAAAAGTAGAAGAAACATATCTTTTTGTTCTCAGTGACTAATGACAGTTATTAAAATTTTATTCATGTTAATACTTTAAATTTACATAATTCTTTATTAAACAAGCAAACCTTTAATGAGGTGGTAGTGCCAGACTCTAATACTATCTTCTGTTTAATTGCTTGTTAGTTTTACATTTCCAGCCTACCTCAATTCAAATAATTGCAAAACTTTCCAAACTTTCTTTTTAAATGCACCTTTAATGTGAGTGCCTAGCAAATGAAGTTCAGTAACATACATGCACATACAAATACATGTGTTTGCATGTGTATATGTGTGCGTGTGCGTGTATAGAGAAAGAGAGAGAAAGTTAATAGGCTATTTACTGCTGGGTGTTCTAGTGTCAAGGTTTATATTTTGATATTACATACATTACTCGAAGTCTTGTGATTGGAGAGTATAAAAATCATTTTAATAAGTAAAAAAGTAGGCTTAGTGGGTTTTAATTCCAAATATATTCTGGATTATAGGCCTACTTTTTAAAGGTCGAGCACCAGCCATGCAGTGCTCTAAGTATTATCTTGGAAATAAATGGTTGCAAAAAAAAGTGGTCCAAATATCAGAATCTAATAATGTTGTGTTTTTTAAGCAGATTTTATTTCTACTGGAATTTGTTTCATCATTGTCTCGACTGTTGAGATCATGTTTGTTGGTAGATACCCATCTTGTGCTGCAGGATGAGTTATTGAAGCCTCTCTTGGAAAAGTTCTTTGTGATTCTTTCCCTTAGATCCAAGGACATTACAGGTAACTATGTTGGTAAGGAACAGGCATCTGAAAATTTTGCAGAATATTTGTATGAGTTGATATCAACATTTTGTTTTTTGCAGTCTGGAAGCAAAGCTTGTACATGGCACCATTACTCAGTGATACTTGTTGAAGGTCCCAGGTTCAATATTTCCGGATAGGAACAGAAACATTTCTGCCTGACATGTTGTCCATGTTGACAGTATTAGGCTAGATGGAAGAATGGTCTGGAAATCTGATGGGATCCCTAAGCAGCATTCATGGTCTCCTCAGGAAAGCAATCATTTTAAAAAATATCTATGATCTTCTGAGGTTTCAGGAATCTTTAAAAAGAATCTTTTTGCACTAAGACTTTCATGGCAGCTAAGGGGCAGAAGCAGTTTCTAGAAGTATTCTGAGCTCAAATAAGGATTGCTTCAAGCTTAGAACCCTTTTGAAAGGACTTGAGCACTTCCAATAAAGTCAGAAAGTCTGTTTTAAATTTGAAATGTTTCAGATTTTAGACATTTTGCACACCGTTGATTTCCAACTTCTTATTATAAAACAAATTCTCATTTACACCTAAAAGTTATCTTTGCTACTGCTTCTTGCTTTGTGTTAATTAAGTGGTAATAGCACAAAGACTGCCATTTAATTTCTAGGAATCAAAGCACAATTTTAAGTCCTAGATAGGCCTGTTGCTTGCCAGTGTTACTGTGTATTGTACAAAAGTATCAGGAACTTAAGAATGCAGTGGTATGCTTACTTATGTTGAAGATATCTCTTGAGTTACTTCTTGAAGATACTAATCTGTGAATCTAGTCATAGTCTGTTAAAGTGAAATACAAAAATTCAACTAAATATAAAGAAAAACATGAAAAAGGAAACATTAGAAGCAGTTTATATCCACGCTTCATTATTTTTATATGCGTTATTGATCATGGCTTCATAATTTAATTTTAAAATGCCCATATAGAATATTTGTCATCTTCCTATGTCTAGGCTGGCCTATAAGTCTTGACCTTCTCGTTGAATGGAAATTTCTCATCTTAAAAATGCTATACTTAAAAATGTTAAGCTGAGATGCTTACCCTTTGTGAGTGCTTTTTTCCCCTATGTTTACTTGGCAGGACCTGAATTATCATCTGCAGTTCATCAAACATGGGAAGACCTGCTTATTTTTTTGGCTACACTGTTAAGAAAATGTGGCCATGGTGCGCTACAACTTGTAACTCTTGCATTAGCAAAGCATTGGGCTTCAGTAATAGGTAATACCTGGTTTTAAAATAACTTAATATCTGCATAACAGAGCAAAGCCTTTAATTCCCCCTTACCAGTTTTTGATACTATGGATTATGGTATTTTTCAGGAACACCTGTCAGGGATGGGATTATGCAGAATTGGGATGTTGTGGTTCTGTTCTTGATTGGGTAGATCATTTCAGAGGTTTTCTGTGTTGGATTGGAGGATAGCAGAGATGAAGCAGCTTTTAATGTCTAAAAGCCACATGTAACATTTTGTGGTTGAGATGATGAAAAGCGGGTAGAGCCATGATTATATTTTTTCTTGGATTTGGAGGAGAACTTTAAGTCAGACGTGCGACTGTTTTTATGTACTCATCACAAAAGTCAAGGAATTGTGCCACCAATTTCTGGCAGCTGTAATCAAAGGTAATTTTGGGGACTTGAAAAAATAGTTTGTGGGGCTAAATGCAAGCCTTTAATGAACACCTTTGCTTTAATGAGTAGTCCTTCCCCTTAAATTGTTGTTACAAAACCCAATAATTTTATTGCTTCATGCAAAGAATATAGGACAATAAGAAGCCTACAGTGGGACAAGTTTATAGTTGGCACCTTCCTGCTAACTAAGGATTTTTTTCTTCAGTCTATGGAAATCATTAACAATTACATATATAATAAAAGCTTATTTATGCATTCTTCCACATAAAAGGCTAACATGTGGAAGATGTATTAGTGGCCCCTGCGATATACATGGAAGTCTTCCAGGAGACATCTGAGTAGGCACACCTATATAGCAGTTACTCTTTTGTGTAACTCAGTGTCCCTACCACAGCTCCTTTCCTGAGGTTGAACATTTTTTTCTGTCAGAACCAAAGCTTTTAGAAATGTTTTCTCTCCCAAAATAATTTATAAATGTTTCATCTCTGCATGATTCTCCCTAAAGACATGCAGATTTGGAATAAACAATTTTTTGAGGATTTGCTTCAGCTGTTAATAGCTTTCATTGGAGTCCAAAGTTTGCTTAAATGAATGTTTTAAGTGAAATATAGGTGGTAGGCCATACTTTTATGTATAGTCAACATAATCATACTGTGACCTATTACCTTGTATTTGTTTCTGCTTCTTCATTTCATATCCTAATATATCATTTGATATTTATGAAAATGCTGCATCATAAAATTTGCATCTCTTTGACCTTTTAGATACACTATGTGAATGTATCCATCTTTCTACCAGACAACCTAGTTTGTGTGTGGCCTGCTTATATTTCCTAGCCCTTCTTTTTACTGAAGAAGGGAAGAGAGAGTTCAACAATAAAGAGGATGCTTGCTACCACCCAACAGTATCTTTCCTTCTTGAGGAAAAGAAGAACCAATCATCTGTAATCAAGCTCTGTGAATTACTCATTCAGGTAGATTTATGATCTTCTGATATTCGTGTACATTTTCCCCCAGTCTTAATCATTACACTGTGAATGCTTTGTCAAGCTAAGCAAGATTTAGTTAAGGAGATATTTATTTATTTCTCAGAAAATATTTCATTAAAAAGATGGTTGGGATGGCACAATTAGGAGCCAAATGAGTTCAGAGTTGCTTAAGGCATTTACAGCCTAGAGTGACAGTGTTAGGGGCATTGTAGGAAATTAAAAAGAAAGCTAGATCCAGTGACCTGACACAGCTTAGTATTCCAGGCCAGGGAAAAGAGAAATAACCAGGAGTCTGGAGCAGATACCAGCAGTGTTTGTGACCAAAATGCAAAGGGCTTGGAACTGTCCAAGGATACAAGTTGGTGGTGCTGATTCCATCAGGAAGAATTGTTAAGGAGAGGAGATACAAGGACAGTGATCTGTAGTATAACGTGGTAAATTTCTTCCAGGGAGAGGATCTCAGGCCTAGTCAGGAGCTACATCAGTCCAGATCTACTGGACCTCACAATTTAGTACTGAGAGTATGCTAGGTAATCTACAAAATCTAGAAATTATTTAGTATACTCTTGTTTAATATATTGTCCATTTCAGTCAGTGCTAACACAAGTATATTAGGTTATTCTTGTCTTATTCTGTTATTGTTTGTCTTCTCAAATGTAATTTTTATGTGATGAAATGCCGGAGAATGTGGAGTCATTACCTAGAAAACCCACCCCCATTAGCCCTGGGAAAATAGTGCGAGAAAGAAATTCAAAACAACTCTGTCTTGATTGGGTTATGTATAAGTTGAAGTAGAGAAGCTTTCAAGATTTGTTACAATTTTCTAACTGCATTAAAATACTTTATAAGACTCCTAGCAACTTCTGTTTCTTGACCATGTATACCTCGAAGGGCTGACATTTTCTTGTGATATAACAAAGAGATTGCAATAGACTTAGGCCTCTTTTCTGCTATATATTATGGTCAAAAATATTGCTAAGGTCTTTTATGTCTAACCTTTTCTTCTGAATTCTTGACATCAGATCAGAATAACTTTAGTTGTATAGCTGGTTCAGGTTATTAAAGCAAGAGTTCTCCAAATTGGTGACGCTGAAACTTCCTGAAATAAAAATGAATGTGCTACATTGCTGAGTAATTATATTAATAATAATATTATTGATACAGATCTCAGTAGTTCTGGAAAATTAATTTCACAAATTATGTGGATTCATGTATGTTTGCAGATTACAATTCAGTGAGTAGCTAATATCTTAGAAGTGGTGTGCTTAAACTTCATAGCTAAAATAATAAATATATGTCACACACATACACACCCACCCCCATAAATCTAACCAACATAGACCTGTGATCTTTGGCAGAGTGGTTAAAGAATAGTGCAAGCAGAAAGTGAGTGAGGAACATTCAAGTGGTTTCGAAGAAAACAACTTCTAGGGAGGGTGGAGGGATGCAAATTGGCCCTGGGGAGTAAAGTGGATGGGGGAACTATGGGAAAGGATAAGGGACAAAAGAAGAGGCAACTTAAGGACTGGTAGAGGAAAGAATGTTTTAAATCTACTGTCAACTAAATCTTCATCTTAAGCCTTGATGTAGCTATTCTTTTCTGTTCATAATTCTGTTAATATGTGAGTTACTTATAGTAAGATCAGTTATTTCCCTTTTGTGAGCAATTATATTTGATTTCTAATGCTGTCTGCTGATGCTTTTACTTGTATTCTGACTTCTTTAGCTGACGATTTATACCACATGAGAAGAATATAGGTCAAAATGATAACTAAATCTTATCTAAGATCTTGCATTTCTCAACCAGCTATGGCCTGAAGCTGTTCTTAAGTTTTCTTTCTGCTGATATGAACTGCTAATAATTTCTATTTTAGTGTCAGTGTAGCTTCCTTTTTATGACACAGGCAACATGTACTATTTTGCTCTAATCATGAAATTAATTATGCCGGAAGAGAACATCTCTAACAGATTATTATAATGGAAATAGTTATTTTAGCTGCTGGCCTGGAACAGTGTCATATACTGGGAATGTATTTTAACCTAGGAATTTACTTCATAGCTTTACTTCTACTAGCCGTGTACATGTAAACCTATTTAATTGCTTAAATAATGTCTATTATTTAACCATAGTTTACTATATTGCTAAAATTGTATAAGATGTTAACTATGATTAGTTGGAACAAGCCAGCATTGTCAACTGTGATTGGCAGTTAGTGTTTTCAGTTGCAAAATGGAAAGAAATGTCCACGTTCCTTGTAGTTCTCTTGGACAAGGAATGAAAATGTAAAAGCCAAGGTTTGTTCCATACATCCAAATTTGCACATAAGAAGGGGTGGAATGGGATGGTGGTGGTTCACAGTAATAAATGAATGGGAAAACAAGAAATCATAGGAATATTAGATGAAATGTTAAGTAACAATGTATTATTGTTAAGAATAGTAAGGGTTTTTTTTAATTAAAAGTTTCATACAGCTTAATTATTTTTTCTACCATATCATTACAGTGAATGTCACAATTTCATCTTACGTATCTTTTGAACTTGTGGGTCTTAGAATTGAGATTTGATGTTGTTACCCTTTAACTGCCTAGAAATATATTCATGATGGCATTTCAACAAATCAATTGCAGAATGTGTTGAGAAGTCAGAGGTTGAAAAGGAAATTTGGGGGAGGAATGAAAGTGTTGTTTGTCACACCAACAATTTGGTAATAACTCTTAGCTGTGTAAAAGAAGAAACCTGGAAAGGGCATGTCAATACTACTGGAACAGATGGATTCAGTTGCTAGTTTTTAAAACACATACAGTGGCAGGGGAAAGAATTAGAGTAGCAAAATCAAAGACAGAAATCAGAAGCAGGTACATAAAATAAAGGAGACAAAATAACTTCTAACTTTTGATATTGAATGTAGGAAAATGATAGTCATCATGCAAGTAGGTGGAAATGATTCACATTCTGGCAAAAAATGTAACCAGTCCTTGAAAAGTTGGCAATAAGTTATTAGTCAAAGGATGGGAAAGAACAGCAGCATATAGGATAGAAGGAAGCTATATTTTAATCACTTTAGGGACCATTTGAAGATATTCCTGAAGGGGGAAACTAAATCTAAGAGCTGGAGATTCATGTATGTATTCATATAATCATGTATTCATGTACATTTAAGAGCTGGAGATTCATTGGTTTCCTAGAAACCAAACCAGGTGATGTAATACATATGGAACCCAACTTTTCAAAAACTCAGTGGAAATGTTTCGATACCAAGAATAGCTATGTTATGCATGTTTATTCCTCTCTTTCTCCCTCTGTCCTCGTTCTAACACAGGAAGAATATAGTTACCAGTAAAATGTGTTTGGATATGGTTGACCACCCACATACTGGAGGGGAGGGGACCAGGTTGATTGTGGAAAAAGCTCTTGCTTGAAAATTTTATTTTTTGCATGAGTCTTTGTCACAACCTTAATTTTCCATAACTTCTGTTCTGCCACAGCCTGATCAGTATATCACCAGTTCTGTAATGAACAGCAGTTGTTCCTGGGATCTTCTCGTGGACAGGGGCTACACATGCTGTATCCTCAAGCCACATGGGCTTTGGGGAGATAATCAGAAATAGGCAATTCTCAACAATTTTTTCTCATTCAATTTTTAGTTGTTAAAATTGTCTGCTGATATTGTTTAGTTAATATTTATTACCTTGCAAAAGTTAGAGTATGCAATCTGCAAAGCCAGGTGATGATCCATATGCCTCACTCCTTTTTTTCCTGCACAGTACATTGTGTCTCTAAAAAGTAGTCCTTTTTCAGAGAATAAAAGGGGGCTATTTCACTGAGAGAAAGAGAGAGAATAAGCATCTGGTTTGCTTATTGGTGAACCATAATAACATATAAACAGTCTTTGGGCCAGTGAAGTTAACTATAGATAAGATATTGTATAAGTCTACCAAGGCATCATTGTGGAAGAAAAAAATGTTTAAAAAAGTGAATACTTCCTGAATTGTAATAGGTAAACAGTTTTAAATTTTCAGTGGATCTGGATCCTGAAGCCAGTCTTTCTCATCTGTTTTGCTCTGATAATGAGAAAGTGTCCTTGCCTGTTAAAAAGAGGAGGAAGAGAAAGAAGACAAAGAGCTACAGTAGTTTTTTGAAAGTGAAAAGTGTTAATCTTTCTTGAGTGTGAGCTACTATATATTATAGGAATTCAGTACAATCCATGTTACTTTGTTTGAGTCATATGTCTATTATTTTTTTGTACCCCTGAATGTTTCATTTCAACATAGATGATGATTAATAAAAGGAATTCAAATCAATACTCATAAAAGCATAATGTAGAAGTTTCTGCATTTCAAGATCTTATTTTTATTTTCAATAACCCATTCTGCTTTTTTCACAGACCTATGAAGTAAACTCTTTTCAGGATGTGGTCAAACGAGTTGCTGCAAGTGCCCTGCTTCCCTTTTTAGCTGTTAGTAGAAGTGCCCAGAAATGTGCTCTAGAAGGTGAGATGCTGTTGTTGAAAAGCTAGGGATTTTAAAGCAGGTGTCATTCATTGTGGAGTTAAATAGAAAGAATGCCCCCATTGTAACAGCTTTATATGTCCAGCAGTTGTTGGGTCTGTTTCCTGTGATATGGATGGTGGCTTGCTGCTTACATTCATTGTCAGGGAAATTAAGACCCTGAGAGTCAACAGTGGGTTCTCGTTTTGCCAGGTATGTTCTTACTGTATGCATTGAACAGATTCTCATTGCCACCATTGTGGCCCATTTTCAACGGATGGTATCTTACTTGAATGATGAGAAGCTGATGATTCTTGTTCAAGCTTCTTTTGGATTTATGAACCTAAAAAACCTGTCTTGAATATACAAGTTCCCTTTTTCTACCCTGGTATTAGTTGTTGATAGATACAGAATGATGATTGCAGGAAGCAATATCAATAGAATGCTCTTGAACTGGTATGATGTTTGGAGTAAGACCATCATGGAAAACCTTGCAAATACAAAACTTTGCAGAAATAATGTCTTCAAGAGGCCTGCCAATCATTAAAAGCTCTTTGGAAACAGATTTTTTTAAAAACCAGGAAAATGTTTGTAACCTTTCTCTTCTTTGTCTAGAATTAAGTGACACTGGCTGAAAAGACCCCAGTGTAAGAAAGTATTTTGATTCTTTCAAAACAGTTAATGTGTCCCCATGGCAAGTATTTTGTTTCACAATCAAAATGTTCCACTGTAGACCTGTCAATTGCATGACACTGTTGGCCTGCTTGTCATTGGCCATTTGACAGAGAAGCAAATCTGAATGTAACATGATTTTTATTCTTTACATTTTTCAAAATGTTGCTGATGGATAATTCAGCTTAAACAATATCAGATCTTCAGTCTATCAAGTCCAAATTGGCTCATTGGCAGATATGCATTTGATCTTTGCACATTTTGCCAATATTTTTGAGCAGATTGATTAATAGAATGCATTTTTCTTTACAGGCAACCTGATAGAGACTGGCTTGGAACAGATGAAACATATTTATACAGAACTGAATCTAACTTTCTTGAAGCTTGGAAAAGCGATCCAAAGAAAAAGGGTATTTTACAGTATTGATATAAAAATTATTGAATATCTGAATGGTGTTTTTCCTACCTATTTTGTATCCCAGTTTTGTGCATATAAGTTAGTGAGACTTACTCTATTGTATATTTAGGTTTCAATATGTTGGGGATGATGAGAATCCAACAGCATTGGAAAAAACAATATGGTCCTTCTCTAGAATATTTTTGGACAGCACCCTGTATCATCATTGGATGGTGGTTTAGGATGATGGAAATTGTAGTTCACTATGTCTGGAGGGCTCAGTGCCATACAACTATTAAGAATGCTTCCTTACAAGTTGTGTTTCACTCTGGAACTTCTCATCTTATAGCATTACCCAGATATGATGCCTCAATTTCAGAAGTTTTGCTTTCAAATGAGTGTTTGTTTTGTTTATCTGCATGTTCGTTTCCATATCAAGTACCAAAGGTTAATTGTTACTTAATGGGGCAAACACTTTGAAAAATAGAAATAGTAGATGGTACCAAAGATGCTTTAACCTTCTTACCTACCACTTCACCTAGCTGGCCTTCTAGCTGACCTTCCAAGCTAGGCTTGAAAATAAGTGGGACAAAGCACAGGATCTACCTGTAGGACATTCTCAGGCATGGAAAAGTTCAGCAGCGCCACCCCCCTGCCTTCTGCTCAGCATTCTTCTGTACCTATATGCCTTATACTGTATCAGCAATCATGGGCTGGCTGCAAATATTTACAGAGATATTGTGTTCTACTACCCTAAATCTCACACAATATCCAGTATGTTTCAAACGGAAGGAGGGAGGGACAGAGGAAATCACTTATCTTAAGGTCATATATTAAAATCGTGAACATCTCACTTTCAAAATTCCCATTTCTGATATTGATTATATGACTCTCTAAATCTACACATAAGATATTTACTACAAAGTATGTCTGTCCATAAATAGGCTTTTATTGAAAAGTGGGGGGGATAACTGGATGAGGGTAGTTTTTATTTCAACTGAATACCTTCCAATTCCATTAAAGCATAACCTGCTAATTAATATTTCTCAAATGATATATGCAACCATGTGAAATAATTAGAATACCACTCAACACAGTCTGCCTCCATGTACATTATAATCAGTTAGCTTGTAGCCTTTGTACAAAAAGGAATGATGAATCCCCAGTTGGATGGATATGCCATCATGTTATGTCAACAAGTCTTTTAGATGGTATTCAATATTTTAATGTAAAATTGTTTGGAATAATTAGAAAGGTCTTTATGTTAATATGCACTTGTATAATTATGTCAATAGCAAGAGCAGACCTCTGGTGAGCCTTTTACAAGGATGGTATTTATACTATATTTCCACAATGAGTGGAAACTCATTGCATTGCTTTAGTTCCTTTCTTCCCAATGCTCTTTTGAGAGCACACTCTTTTACTGTCAGCCAGTAGATTTGCTCTGTTGAAAAGATAACATCCAATCTTAGGTAGCATCTGTCTTCCTTTATGCAGGATGAAACTGAAGTCCTTCCCTGTGTTGATGGCCACTAAACTTCAAAGGGTCCCCCCCCCCCACAAAGGATAAATACTGATTTCTTGATGGCAAGATGGTCTATGCTTGATTAAATTCATTCAGAAGCAAGTAGTACTGTATGTGCCATATAAACCCAATTCTGCTTGTGTATTGATCTAAACCAATTTTTTGTTCTACCAGGAAGACAACCTGAGCAAAGAATTAAAACTCGTCATGCATCTCCTAAGAAATTGTTTCTTTCAAAATGAATCCTGCAAAGTAAGAGACAAGGAAGATGTCCAACCCTTCAGCTAAAATGTGCTGAAGGCCTGTCTTGTTGGGGATGTAACTGTTGGCAACTTTGGGAACAATCTACTTACGGCCTTCACTTTTCACTTTCTGCTAATTTAATTGTTTATAGATGCCTATGGATAGTGGTGGTGATGGAAAAGGATTGTTTTGAACTTCGAAGAAAAAAATGACACCCTTGTTTTATTTACCTTCCAGATCGTGATGGTTTTGTGTACACTTTGTGTCATTATAACTATTCAGGGATGTGCAGGGGGTTGATGATGCGACTGACAGTTTGGTCCCTTGTTTTATTTTAACATATCTGGACCTGTATTCCGTTTGGGGTTGGTATGTGTGTCTGTGAGGCACTAGGTTGAAAAATTGCTGTCTTTTTACATTACAAGAGGAAGTAATTATTTTCTTTCCAAGTAACATTTATACTTCTATTTCTACCTTTCCCAACTTGGACCCCCCTCCGGATGCACGGACTCCAACTCCCCAAATTGTCAGTTTGTGGAGCTGAAGTCCATATCTTTGGAGGGTGCCCAGGGTGAGAAAGATTCTTCTGTGGTTAAAGAGCCCTCAGATTTTGCATTGGCTTCACTATTGCACTTATGAAAGCTGTTTCAGTATTGCAACATCTTCTCATTATTTGACAGGCAGCAGCCCTTGGAACTCATCTTATTTCTGTTTTGCATGCTTTGTGGCCATGGCTTCTAATGGATGATTCCTTGATGCAAGCAGCATTGCATTTGCTTTGTGTCTATACTGCAAACTATCCTTCAGGTGGGTGATGCTTCAGTTGTCACTGCATGTTGCAGGTGACCATTAAAACCAAAAGGGAAAAAAGAAAGAACCTAACTAGAGTTAGCATTTGTTCAAAACTCACTCTTCCAGGTCCTTGTGTTATAAAAATGACAGTTCCTTCCCCCTGCCAATTTATTACAGGTCGTCCTTGTTTAGCAACTGCCCTGTGCAGTGACCATTCACAGTTACGATGGTGATAAAAAAGTAACTTTGCAACCAATCCTCGCATTTACGAACTTCACAAGTCTGTAAAGCAAAGGAAAGCTGAAGTAAGATCATCAACATAGTTGCGGTTTCACCTTGCTTAACAACCAAGTTGCCAGTCCCAGTTCTGGTCGTTAAATGAGGACTAAGTGTATTCAAATAGAAATGGAAACACACTTGCCTTCCTACCTCTGTAAACAGTTGATACTATAGATATGTATGTGTGTGAGAGTGTTATATATTCACTCTTTATAGTATGCTTTTATTCTTTCTCTTATAGCAAATATATTTCTTTTCTATTAATGCTGGCATAAAGTACCCATGTAGAATTATCTACTGATCAATCAAACATTAACAAATATTAAGATTTCTTAATATTTACATGGCTGCATTTGTGGGGAGATGCAGGCACTTGGTGATAGCATCTGACTGGACTAATATTTCATTTCTAGGAAACTCTAGTTCTTCATAGTCTATCAGAGTGGGCAACCTGAATTACAAATGTTTCAGGGTTTGTTTGTTTTTTAATAGATAAATCAGTGACTAATGTGGGTGGATAGTTCATGAATCCTCTGTATCTACAGTATGTGAATAATCTTCTTGTAGATGAATCTTCCACATTAATCTATAATAGAAGTTACATGTTAGTGGTGTTCTCTATTAAAACTTTCTTTTGTGGGAGTATACTGACATCAAAAACCTAATAGGGAAGAGTACAAATTTTGTACTCTTCCCTATTAAGTTTTTGACGTCAATATACTCCCACAAAAGAAAATGGGGCATGATGAGTTGTCATGGAAAGCAATTGAGTTTGTATTTAAAAATAGTTTTAGAAGTCTTCATGAATGCTTTAATTCCTCTGCGAAGAGAATCTGAAAAAGTTATTGTGTGCATCATTACAGTCATAGCATTAATTTCCTCAACTTCATAAAAGTTGAATTCAGTTTAAATTCTATTTCATTTAAAATTATATATATATAAT